TTTTTTGGGTGCAGCATGTGTGTTCCCCTTAACTTCACTGTAATTTTTGCCGGTTTGCATTGTTGAACGTTGTTTCAGAGAATGAACTCTCTAGTGATGTGGATGATCAAGTCAAGCCCCCATCTACAGCATTTCAGGTAGAATGCCTGATTTCAAAGAAAAGTAAATTAAATAAAAAGGCTCATGGTAGAAACGTGAAATGTTCGATTGCTTTGTTTATCTTAATATTGCTTTGTTTGTTTTTTTCATAGGGTTTCCCTGTGGAGAACAAATTGATCTTATTTATGAAGAATGCCGCATCTTGTGCGGTAGAAAATGGTGAAGCTTTATCAGGGATAGTCAGCTTGATCAATAGACTTCCCGACAATATCTTTTTGATCGTATCACATGTTCAAAAGGAGTTCAAGGTTAACGCAGTTTGGATGTTTTTCAGATGCTGAAATTCCTATAACACCTGATTATTCACAGTTTTTAAAGATTTATTTGTTAATGGTTTTTATTTTGTGCATCTTTCTCCACTCTCCAGGCTAACTTTGATGGGAGAATAGAAAAAGCGCAGATGTTTCAGCAAGCGTTCATGACTTTGTGGAAATGCTTTTCATTTAAAATTAGTATCCAGATGCCTAAGGTGCCCAACGGAAAGTCATAACCTTAAATGCCTTATGCTTTAGTACAATATTATCTGATGATAGCCCTAAAATTCCAAAATAGGACAAGAAGCTTTTTGATGTGCTGAAAAACCAGCTGGATAGAGATGCTGAACTCTTAAGAACGAGAGAAAATATTTATCGGCTTCAGCAGGTGAGACGTGGTGGAATATTGATTCAAGAAGATAGTCATAACCATTGCAACTTGTAAAGATTTTCTTAGTTGTATTCAATAAATAATGGGAAACTATAAATTAAAGATATATAGGACTCAAGATTTTTAGTGCATGCATGCAGTGCGTGTATAGAGTGTCCATGTATGTGCCTGAAATGTGTACCATGTGGCGTGTGTAAATTTTGTGCAGTGTGCGAGGGAGAGCGGTTGATTTTGTGACTCATGGTAAATTAAAGAATTTCAAATGACAAGATTTTACCTGATGGTTAAGACTGCATAGTTTGTCAAAACAATCCATATATGTGGCTCGAAATAGTTTTCTTATGCATAAATTTTCTTTTCACTGTCATCACCAAGTATCCTTCTGGGTACAGGCTCTATTTAAGCAAGACTTGGAATGCCAAGGCATAGAGACATTGAAAGTGGAAGGCCAAAACCTTACAAATGAGGGTATGTTGCAATTTGAACATTGTAAAAGGGGCAGGTTAAATTAAATGCAACAACTAAAGTAATTTTGTACCAACTAATCATACAAAGTGATCACAGATGCTGAAAAGGTGGTCAAGTGGGCTCTAGGACGGGAAATAATGGTGCGTCCCCCAATTCACAGTCGCGTGAAGTTTGCATTGTCTAGAGAAAGGCAAGTCATTGTTTTCTGCTTTCACAACAATAATCTTCTTGATTTTTTTTTTT